CAACCCTGAACACTTAACCCCATCGTCTTCCATTTCCTTTTCCATTCCCTACCAAAAACCTCAAACTCCACACCCTCTGATAGCTTCCATCTTCCTTCTGTTCCTTAAGCCTCAACAGCCTAAACTCTGCACCCGAAACTTGCTTCCATTCGATTTTCCGTTTCCTTTCCGACCAACCCTGAAAACTAAGCCCTATGGTAGCTTCGATGTTCATTTCTTTTCGACCGCCCCCCAAACCCTAAATCCTAAAACCTGACTCCCAGACCTAAACCCGAAAACTTAAACTTCAAACCTTAAACCAGTAAGTTTACTTTCTTACCCTAAGGCTCCAAGTATACAAATAATGCCTACATTGGGCCCCAAAGCCTGTAAATCTTATCTACATTGGGCTATTTGGATCCCTAGGGTTAGACCCCGGACGATGCCAAGCTGCCGAAGCCTACGGGTGCGCCGTAGCGGCGTAGCTCTGCAAAGGTCGCCTGGTGACTGGTGGGTTTGGGATGTAGGGTGGTTGTCAAAATTATGGTCCCCTTTTTGGTTCCCTATTAGAATACGGCCCCTAATTTTTAGGGTACACAAAAAGGGTTTGGGATCTACTTGGAGGTCCATTGTAGTTATACCCTACTTAGTAACTGTAGCTATAACCTAAATATAAGCCCCATAAGTACAGTTACCCTAAATATAATTGGGTTGTAACTACAGTTACTAAGTAGGTTATAAGTACAATGGACCTCCAAGTAGGGTTTCGAGTTCAGGGCGTAAGGGTTTAGAGTTTAGGGTTTAGAGGTTAAGGTTTAGGAATTGGAGTTTAGGGTGTAGGGTTTAGAGTTTACGGTTAACCTAAACCCTAAACCCTAAACCCTGTTTAGCTTCATACGCCTTCATGGAGGCACAGGGCTTGCCATTTGTGATTTGGGGTTCGGTCTAAACTCCTGGTATCCCCCTTAATAATCCCCATAGTAGTCCCCTATATAATCCCCCATATAACCCCCTTTTAAGGAGTTTAGACTATGGCTCATTTGGGGTTCTGGACCCTAAGCCCTAAACCCCAAACAGCGTGGTCTAGGGTTTAGCTTTCCGAGAGAGCCCGATACACTTAAACTGAGGAATACATGGGGGTTTAAGGGGAAATATTTTGTAGGTCCCCATAACAAGGATTATTGGATTTGGGGTCTATACTGGCTACCATATACAAAATGGGACTGCTTTGTGGATCCAGGAGTTATTGAGGGGGTTAGATAACCTACTTCTAAAGGGTCTGCAGTGGGCACGGTATGGTATCGTCATTCAGGGCGTATACTGCATCACCTACCTCCAGGGTCCCTCAAGGTAGGATCCCAAATATTGTTTCAGGTATAACCAACTACCTCAAACCCCAAACCCTAAATGAAGGAGCTTGATCTCCCTGAAGTACTGCACATAATGACCTGGGGGTGTCAAAAAAATTCGGGTACCTTAGGCCCTAGCAATATGAGGGGATCCCATTGAAATATGGAGTCTCTTGTGTTTGAAATAGGTTAAGGGCTACCCGGAAACTCCTGTGCAGCTGGATTTATGGGTGATGCATTGTGATCCCTATACGTCCCCATATGACGGTAATCCTAAACCCTAAGCTTTAACCCCTAGATCATGCTCAAGAGGAACTACACAGGAGCACTTGGATGTTGCATTCTCATTCTTGCGGGCTCATATGGGTTATACAGAGTTGATGGTCCAGAATCATATTACACGATCTCCATGAACATCCAGGCCTTAGGAATTTCGAGGGGATTCCGTCTTGGGAAGCCCAAGCAACAGTACAACAACGAGTGCAAAGAATGGTCTAGGGTTTAGGGTTAGGAGCTTGAATTCAGTTTAGGGTTTCGGGTTTAGGGCTTGCACAGGAGGCGGCTCCGCTGATCTTGGATAACTCCCCCCCCACCCTAGACCCCTAATCCCCCTGGCAGAAACACAAGGACAGACTGTCTACTACGCACAAGATGATAAAAGCACAGTCAGAAACAAACTATCCATAAAGTGGCGTAAGCTTCCCCTAAGGCTGCAAGTACCCAAATACAGGGGTTTTAGGTCTCAAATACTGTAATCTGAATCGTTCTCGATAACTACATCTCATTCTTTGGGTACTTGGCCGCTTAGGGTTCGCTATGACTTGAGAACATTCCTATAGCTTCGATGAGGAGTGAGGGATGCGGGAATAGGTAAGGGATTCAGCAGTTCCGCCTTTGATTGACAGGTTGTTCGATAAGGGCTGTTGCAATCTCTACAGGTACTTGGGCTTGTAGGAGCTCGCTATCTTGTGGCGTCCGGAGTCATGACTTCAAATGTTCGTAAGACCAAAATTCTTTCCGTGGCTCTGCCAATAGCATGGTCACTGATTTCACCATTCCTTCCACGCAATAATAAGACAGTCATGATGACAGTAGGTCTTGCAACTGTGCTGGAAAACAAGATTGATTGGTAGCTACCATTCCAAGGCAGGACCCCGACGCGAAGAAGACAAACCTTAAGCAATCAATGGGCTTTGTACCTCATACTTTGGTATCTCTAGCTTTCAATTTAGGGTCTAGGTTAGTCTAGGTACGTGTCGTAACCGCATCATGCCAAATAGGTTTTTCGGCACTACTCACAAAAGGTTTAGGATTAGGGTTTAGGAGGCAATTTGGGACAGTGTAGGTACACTCACCCTCGAGTACATGTCTTAACAGTATGTCGGTAAATCTTGAACCCCGAAGAAAAAAAAAACAAACAAACAACTGGCTCGGAAGAAGGGCCACACTTAAGCAAAGCTAAGCCGTGCGAATGGGTCCACGCACATAATCTCCCGAGCAAGCCCAGTTTAGGGTTTACGCGAACTTCCAACGTGCGCAAAACTGACAAACGGACACGGAATTGCGCTCGTGCCCCAAGTGCTTGAACAACTGTAGCGCTGCGGTCCTAAAGCATACACTCAAATTCTGGGCCCAAGTATGTGAATTGTGTACCTCTGGGGAACCGCTGTCATCGACGGCTCTTCCTCTTTGCGGGCGGAAGCTGATTTGTTGTGAGACCTGCTGCACCTCTCGGGGCTGAGAAAACTGGCTGAAACCAGATCGCTGAGCTCTGGACATTAGAGGCCAGCACTCTAACCCTTTCATCCCTACATACCTAAGCCGGTTATCCAATCCCAAACCCTCTGAACCTTACTGCCGTGGCTTTCATGATGCACTGTCAGAAGGAGATTCGTTTCTTCTTCCTGTTCGGCTCATCTTCCGCATTCCTGACTTGTCTCAAGGACATCGTCAGGTGGGTAGTTGCGAGGTGGGGTAAGGCTCGTATAAGGATAATCGGGCTATATGAGGTCTACATAGGCCTTTTCTAAGGGTACCCACATGAAAACTACCCACCTAATTGTCTCAGTTCTGAGAAGAAGAAGCTCAAGATTGCCCCTCCTTAAACTTTATCTCTAAGCCCTACCTAGAGTCAACCTCAACCCCTATCAAAGGTAAAGCTACCAAAAGATTAGGTACAACACTGTTTTCAGCGGACATTTGTTACTCTAGGTAGCACCAAGACTCTTACTAACACCCTAAACCCTAAAACCCTGGGGCCCTTAGGGAAACTCTCGCTGAGGTGCACCGTAATACCACTAGACCTAGAACAAGAAATGCTGGTTATACTACAATGAAAACAAAAAATAGATACCCCTTATCGACTGGGACCCACCAAAAACCCTAAACCCCAAACCTTAAATCCCAAATCCTGAACCCCAGACCCTTAACCTTAAACCCTGAACCCTAAACCCTAAAGTCTAAACCTAAAGTTTAAACCCTAAACCCTACTTGGAGGTCCCTTGTATCTATAGCCTACTTAGTAACTGTAGTTATAACCCATTGTATCTAGGTTGACTGTAGTTATGGGACTTATATGTAGGTTATAACTACAATTACTAAGAAGGCAATAAGTACAATGAACCTCCAAGTAGACCCTAAACCTTAAACCCTAAATCCCAAGCCCTGTACCCTTAACCCTAAAGTGTAAACCCTAAACCATACTTGGAGGTCCCTTGTACTTATAACCTACTTAGTAACTTTAGTTATAACCCAATCGTATCTAGGGTACCTGTAGTTATGGGACTTGTATGTAGGTTAAAACTACAGCTACTACGTAGGTTATAAGTACAATGGACCTCCAAGTAGAACCTAAACCTTAAACCCTAAACCCTACTTGGAGGTCCATTGTACTTATAGCCTACTTAGTATCTGTAGTTATAACCCAACTGTATCTAGGTTAACTGTAGTTATGGGACTTATATGTAGGCTGTAACTACAGTTGCTAAGTAGGCAATAAGTACAATGGACCTCCAAGTAGATACCCTAAACCCTATAACCCCTCTAAACCCTAAACCCTAACCCCTATAAACCCATAAACCCTAAACCCTAAACCCCTGAACCCTGAAACACTACAAACTTCATAAACCCCATAAACCCCTAAACCCTAAAACCCTACCCTCCCAGAGCAAGCATCTGTGAAGCCCCCAGCAGCTCCAGAACGGCCTTGGGCAGGTTGCCATCCTTTAGCCTGGAACTGATTTGGGGCTTCTCAAAGTAGGTTTAGGGTTTAGGGTTTAGGGGTTTCCCAGAACAAGGTTTAGGGTTTAGGGGTTTAGGGTCGGGGTGGTTCCTAGAAGGAAAGTAGAGTTGGGGGTTTAGGTTTAGAGTTCAGAGGTTTCCCAAGAGCAGGTTTTGGGTTTAGGGGTCTCCCAAAAGTACGGTAGGGTTTTGGGTTTTGGGGGTTCCCGGAAGTAGGGCAAGGATTCGGGTTTAGGTTTTAGGGGTCTCCCAAAAAAAGAAAGTAACGTTTAGGGGACTCATCTGGGTCTCCTCTGGAGTCCCCCCATTTTTGCATGCTACCATTGGGCATACATTTGACATGTGATTTACTTTCCTCGCTGGCTTATATAGCAACATCCCAAACAGGACTGTTCCTAACGGAGACCCTTAGGATCCTGATATACTGTAGTATTACCGTAGTATCCATAAATGGTCTAGCAGCTGGGACTGGATGTGCTCATTGGTGCTCCCAAAGCTCACGCATGAACGCTGAAGTTGCTCTAAGCCTTTGAGTGCGGCAGCTTCGGCAATTTCGACAGAGCTGTCAACCGTGATCATGTTCGGCAGGAATCCGGAGAACCTTGATTGTAAAGTCTAGATTGGGCACTGCCCTGACCCAGTGACAGTCTATTGTAGGGGTCATATATTAAGAGCTGTATATAACTATATTGTTAATAGTATCCGACAGGTACAGAGTGGTGGCAGTACCCGAACTCTACACCCGAAACCCTTCGCCCTGAATCGAAACACTGACATAAATTGTACTGCCGGCAAAAACCAGCCCTGGGTGTCTAAGCACCCTCAGGTAGGAGTTTCTCAACATGGGAATACCGGTAGACAGTCCCCATCAACAAATTAGATGGATATTTGATCTTCTGAGAAGCCCTAAAGCCATAAAGCCCTAAACCCTAAACCCTAAAGCCCTAAACCCCAAACCCTAAACTCTAAACCCTAAACCCTGAAGCCTCCAAGTCATGGCATCCCTAAGGATCCTAACTCTACTTGGGTGGTTGTCAGAATCATGGTCCCTTTTTGGGTACCCTAAATATTAGGTGCCGTACTATACTAGGGACCCAAAAAGGGACCATAATTTCGACAACCACCCACTTGCACCCTGTAGGATCTTTAGAACATTCTCAAACAGGATTGTTGATGATTGAGACCCATACGACACCTCCCCCCTGTTCGGGCCAAATTTGAGAGGCTGTAGTACAGCAGGAAGGGGTGCAAACTTCATGATCTTTAAGTCAGAGACTCATATCGACGATGTCGCCCACTTGCCATCGGTGGGCCAAATCCAACGCGACCAGCATGGACTTGTAGTGAGGCTCGACACAGGTGGATCCGGTGTAAAGTGCATCCTAAGGTCCCGGCACGAACAAATAAACAAACAACATGGTCGTTACGCCTAGAGCACTTCAAACACATGCGAACTATGCTCCTAGTATCCCCCCATTAATAACCCCTATAATAATCCTCTATAAAATCCTGTATATAACCCCCCCTTAAAGGAGTTGAGACCCTAAACCATAAACCTTGAACCCTAAACCGCCCATATAGTCCCCTATACAACCTCCCTTTAAGGAGTTTAGAGTGGTTAAACCTAGTAAGATTAAATCCTCATATAAAATACTATACCCCAAAAGGAGGATAGAATCTTACTCTATATTAGGTACCATAGGTTCCGCAAATAAAATACTACTCTCCCTATAATCCCCTATATAACCCCAGTTTCCATTTCATTTTCCATTTTCTTTTCCATTTGATTCTCCATTATAGGGCCCTACACTTACTATATTGGGTTCCCTAAACCCTAATCCTAAAACTCATGTGTTTTCTAATCAGGTAGACCCCAGTAGCCAGGAAGAGCGAGATGCCAGATCCAGAGGAATCCTTGATTTGAATGTGCTTGCTTGAACCTTCCTGGGTTGCTGTTAAGGAGCTTAAGCTTTAGGGTTAAAGGGTTTAGAGTTTAGGGTTTAGGGCTATATTATCCCCCTACAAGGGAGAATCTAATGGAAAAGAGTCTGGAAATTGACATGGCAACTGAGGGAGCATAGGGATTTAAAGAACTTAGTTTGTATTACTATATTGGGGAAACCCTAATAATTACCATGGTAACTTAGTTTAAGTTCCTTTACAGCAACCCAGCTTCCTTCATGCATGACTCCAGCATTGCCTTCAGCACAGGAGATGCAACTGCCAGCATCTGTTCATGAGCTGATACCTCGCCATCCGCAGTTTCGAAAATCACGTTGTGCGTGGAAGTCATATTTCGGAAGGACTCCCACCGATCAATGACGCGATGATGCACGGCCATCTTCTGGTCTTTCCAAGCAGCCCTACCTGAGTCAGGATTGGGACTTGCTAGTTAAAATTCAAATCAAGTGCACAGTGTGAAATTGGGACCTGGTGACGCGCGGCCATCGCGACGAAGTCTTGCATGCGCTTGATATCAACTGACCAATTTGCACCTCCTTTGCCCTCTTTAAAAACACGTATGCGCTCGAAGGCTAGTGAGATCGCAGACCGCCCAGCTAGCTCGATTGAGACTTTGGTGGCATCCTTGTTGTCATTCTTCCACCAACTATAACAGATCCGAGGTTTTGCCTTTTGCTGTGGGTCCGCACCAGACTGTATCATCCATTCCGCACACTTCAAGAACGTAGTGGGTTTGCTAACATCTTCACAAATCAGCAACACCAGCGGAGGCAGATCGAATTCCCCGACGTCTCGGGTCCAGTCATAGTTGCTTGGCGTAAATTGTTGCAGCCCTTCCAGGTCATGAAGCTTGATGAAGCCTGCCACGACATCGTCGCAACATGGTCCGGCCATCGCTCAGCTAGCACATGTAACGATCTCGGAATGTGTGAGGATGTCTCTCTCTCGCGTTTACATGATAGTTCCCATAAACAGGGGAACCCCACTATAGACCCACAAATGCTCTAGTCCTTTTTTATAGGCGCCCCCTAAAATGTGCCCTATTCTTGGGAAACTCCCACATAATTAAAGATTGCCTTTGTTCTGAAACATGGCCACATGAAAATTGTGTAAGCTCCTGCTGCCTTACAGCTTGTGTTCTTCACCAGTACCTGGAACCCTAAACCCTAAACCCCTAAACCCTAAAACCTAAACCTTACCAGTGTTCTCAACAAGCACAATGGCAGACAAGCTCTTCACAGGGGCAAGCATAATTGGGTAGTGTTTTTTGGTGGCTCATGTGAGTATTGTTTTTTGGCGGTTAAACCCAGTAAGATTATATCCCTTATATGCAATACTATACCCCAAAAAGGAGGATAGAATCTTACTCTATATTGGGTACCTAATCCCCAAATAAAATACTACTCAATCCACGATTGAGTGGAGCAACATGATATGAGATGTGAGGTGATCTACATGAAAACGATAAAGGGCAGGAGGTAGCTGACTGCTGGCTCCGTTCTAATATGGCAACGCTTCTTTGCAACACTAGTATAGGTCGCTCAATATCTTTTACGTGTTTTGCAATTCTGGAATTGGGTCAAAAATCTAACTCAAACCCTAAACCCGGCATGTAATTATTGCCCCCTCCATCCAACTACATGCCCATCTGACCCAACTCCCATGCCCTCCTGTCATTGCATTGAACCCTGAAGCTTATGAGATACTGTCGTCGTCCTCGTGATATCCCTACGTGGTTCAAGATTCAGGGTTTAGAGCTTGGGGTGGAGGGTTAATGTAAACCCGTGATTAATGAACCCCCTCCTTTTAAGGGCTTTAATACTAGGATCCCTGCCATACTCCCTATTAAGGGGAGGGGGCTTATTAATCACGGGTCTACAGTAAGGGTTTAGGGTAGCTCTTGCTGCTCATCACCTCCCCCCCCCAGCAGGCCCTCAGGGAGCCTCCATCCGGGCCTTGTGTGTTGCGCCATCCTGCACGGGACCTTTGGATCAGAGATCTAACCTAAATGAACCTGCACCCTGTACTGGTGGTATAGTAGGAATATAGGGTTTAAGGTTTTGGGTGGTAGAAGGAAAACATAAGAGGGCCCTTAGATAATCACCGGTATCCCCCTATAGCCGCTATTACGATCCAGCTTTAGTACGGAGACATTGGCATTCCCAGCTTTGACCCTAGATTTTGACTCACCCTGAAACGTGGACCCTTGACATTTGAGGCGGTTTAGGGTTTAGGGTTTAGGGCTCATGCAATGCCAGGAAAAATTCACGTAAGCGCGGCAGCAAGCAAAAGAACAGCCACGAGGTATTGGTAGATATGCAGAGCGCAAACATAAACACATGCTTTTTCCATTCGTCCAGAATTCCATACCCTGTAAATGCTAGAGACATTGCAACCTCCTTAAGGACGAGGGGATTTGGGTTACTCCAACCTTGTGACCGACTATGGCATGACTTCTCATAGGGACTTTATGGTGAGAGTTGGCGTAACGAAAATTTCCTTTACCAATGATAACCACGGCATGTTCATCCTCATGCTAACCCCTGTAATAATACCTTCATTCCCTTTGGGCCCCATATCCCCCCTAAACCCTTTGCTCGATTGGGTCAGGGTTTAGAGTTTAGGGCCCTTTTTGTGGCCCCAATATATCAACATCCTTATTTCAGGGACCCTCAAACTCGGACTTTTGAAATGGGTATGCTACCCCAATACACCAAAATCCTGGTACTAAAGCCCACATTTCCCTGGAACTGGGACCCGCTATTTATGAAAACTCCCACTTGGAGGTGCTGCTTGGTTCACAGATTTCCTCCTCTTTTGGGGGCACGTAACTTCGGGCTAGAATATATTGGGTAGAAAAAGGGGCCACCATCCATTCAAACTCCCTTCTAGATGTCCATGAGCATTGTGAGAATTGTTGCTTCCGAGTAGTCTTGAAATGAGGGCCTCCCGCCCTCAACCCTAAACCCTAAACCCCAAGCCCCCAACCCTAATCCTTACACTGTAAACCCTAACGCCGATACCTTATGGGGGCTTCAGGTTGAAGGTTTAGGTTTCAGAGCTTTGGGTTGAGGGTTTGGGTTTTGGGGGGTTTAAGGTGTAGGGTTTAGGGTCTATCACTGGCTAGAGCTTCAAGCCGGCAAGGCCTCTTACAGTACATTACTCTATGAAGTTGGTATCACCCCACGCTCCCAGAATCCCTGTTTAGGGTTTAGGGTTTAGGGACCTCCATCCTCCATTTACCCACCGAAAGTGTGTCCCAAATGGGCCTCCAAACCCTAATGGGTCCAAGTACCCAATAATCATGTACTTGCCCCAAACCTGTACTAGAACTAATATTACCCAAAACCCAAGTACCTAATTATTGGGTGCTTGGACCCTAAACCCTAAACCCTATATACCCCTATATACCCCTATAGATCCCCTTTAAAGCGATCTAATTATTGGGTACTCGGACCCTTAGGGAAAAGGGCCTGCCCCTAAACCCTAAACCCCAAACCGCTAAAGCACCTCCTTGGCCAGGCAAGGGTTTAGGGTTTAGGGTTTAGGATTTAGGGTTTAGGGTAAAACCGCAAAGGAACGTTTCATTGAGGCTTTTTAACACACATAGGTACAGAAGTTTAGGTTTAGGGTTTTTCGTTTAAGATTTAGGTTTTAGGGTTTGGGGGGGACTGGAATATTGGATCTCTACAGTCAACTGGGAGATACCTCTGGAGAATTTCTTGGACCCAGCCCCAAAGAGGAAGGACATCACCAGTCCAGGTAGCAGATCAAACCCAATAGGCCCTATCACGGTACAGCACCTCTATTTTCTCCCATCCTCCCCCTTCAGAAGCGATAGGCATGTGTCTATCCTAAACTGTTCCCCTAAAATCCCTAAACCCTCTAAACCCTGCGTAGGATTTCATGTTGACGAGGGTCTGCTGGTGTGCTGCGTCATCTGGTCTAACAGCAAAGCGCCTTGCAGGAAGACCTGGAAATCAGGCGTCTTATAAGGTTCAAGTATGGGCCCATAGCCTTTTAGGGGGATTCTACGAACCCTTATGGGTACAAGATTTTGGGTTTGGGGTTTAGGGTTTAACAAAAGGTTTAGGGGTCTAGGGTTTAGGGTTGAGGGTCTTACGGGTGTAGGGGTGTAACCCTAAACGCTAAAGCCTTTTTCGGTGACGGTGAAGATTGAAAGCCTGGAGATGGCGATCTCGAGGCTCAGAATGCAGGAAGGCCTAATAGAAACCAGCCATTCTTACAGTGTTTAGTGTTTATTTTCTTGATAGTGGGGACCGAATTTCGGTCATTTCAAATGCATGTAGTAAGTGCAGTCATAGTATTTGGAACAGTACCAAGACTACGGTGGATAGAGCCAATCTCAAACCACTTAGAATCCCTAAAATCCTGTACGTACAGTACCATTCTTGGGGCTATCCTTAGTGTCGTGCGAGATTTTTTCTCCATCCAGAATTGTAATCATAATCGTAACAGAGAGCGGAATGGTCAATATAATAGATAACAGCAACAGCAATCCTGATAGTGTCAAGAGTAGTAGACTTGCAGGAACATGACACGCATGATGCTGGCTAAGCCCTGGACCCTAAACCCCTAAACCCCAAACCATAACCCACCCTAAACCCTTGGGGAACTATGATTCAAAGACTTGCAGCTACATGACACGCATGATGCTGGCTAAGCCCTAGACCCTAAATGCCTAAACGCCAAACTATAACCCTAAACCCTTGGGGAGTTATGGTTCAAAGACTTGCAGCTACATGACACGCACGATGCTGGCTAAGCCCTAGACCCTCAACCCCTAAACCCCAAACCATAACCCACCCTAAACCCTTGGGGAGTTATGGTTGAAAAAGCTGCAGCTACATGACACGCATGATGCTGGCTAAGCCGTGGACCCTGAATCCATAAACCCCAAACCCAAACCATAACCCTAACCTTTTGGAAGCTATGGTTCAAAGACTTGCAGCTACATGACACGCATGATGCTGGCTAAGCCCTAGACCCTAATGCTGCCCTAAACCCTGAACCTCTAAACCTCTAAAATCCTAAGCCTGCACACCCTGAAGCCTTAAACCCTTGAACCCCTAAAGCCGAAACCCCTAAAATCCTAAACCCCTACACCCTTAAACCCGAAATCCCAACCCCTTCCTTCATGTCCCCAAACAGACCCAACTCCCAAGGCCTGCTTGGAGGTCCATTGTACTTATAACCTACTTAGTAACTGTAGTTGTAACCCAATTGTATCTAGGAAAAAATGTAGTTATGGAACCTATATTTAGGATATAACTACAGTTACTAAGTAGGTTATAAGTACAATGGACTTTCAAGTGGATACACTCGTGAAAAGGGAGCTTTAGGCTTTAGGGGTTATAATGAAATGGACACGAAGGAATACATAGGGAATATTAGGGCTTATATGTGGGTTATGTAGGGCGTATAGTATTGGGTTTGGGTTTAGTCCTTGAGGATTTAGGGTGGAGAGTTGCCAGGTGGGTACACTTATATGGAGGTTTAAGGTTGAAGGGATATACAGAGACTATGCGGGACTACCTGGTAGAACTCCCAACCTGACAGTCCTTTAGACTGTACTCTGCTTTTATAACTACAGTGGATGCTACAAAATCCTGCATGACCCTAAGTACCCTGAACCTGGAAATTATGGTGTTCGCCGAGGCATCCAGCCTCAGGGCGTTTAGATCCCTTTAAAAACCCCCTCTACTTTCCCTTGCAGACTAGGCCACCCACCATCCCGCATGAAATTTCAGCCTCCCCCAAGGTTCGAGGCTTTGGCGGTACGCGGCGGGCGCATTTTTCGTTTAAAATGGTGTTTGTGGGTTTTTTGGGGTTTTGGAGGCCCCTCAAGGTCCCTGCCCCCCGAAGGCCCCCGG